TCTCAGCTTATTAGAATTTTTCCTTCCTTCCTTCCTTCCTTCCTTCCTTCCTTCCTTCCTTCCTTCCTTCCTCCCTTCCTTCCTTCCGTCCTTCCTTCCTTCCTGCCTTCCTTCCTTCCTTCCTTCTTTCCTTCCTTCCTTCCTTCCTCCCTTCCTTCCTTCCGTCCTTCCTTCCTTCCTGCCTTCCTTCCTTCCTTCCTTCTTTCCTTCCTTCCTTCCTTCCTCCCTTCCTTCCTTCCGTCCTTCCTTCCTTCCTGCCTTCCTTCCTTCCTTCCTTCTTTCCTTCCTTCCTTCCTTCCTCCCTTCCTTCCTTCCGTCCTTCCTTCCTTCCTGCCTTCCTTCCTTCCTTCCTTCCTTCCTTCCTTCCTTCCTTCCTTCCTTCCTTCCTTGTAACCTTTTGTGCTCCTGCTCCCCCTCCCTGAGGAAATGAAATCTTTTCAGACTGAGAAGTTGGCCTTCCTGCCTTTCCTGACTGTCCTAATTTCCAATTCACATTGTAGGAATTCCGCTGGTCTTTCCCCCCCAGGAGGGTATTAAACGTAGCCTCCGCCATTTTCTCTGTACTTCATGAACTTGCTGGAGGTGCACCCAGAGTAAATTAGGCAAGATGGGAGCTTGGCTAATGAATTCATGATGAATTTTCTGTCTACACTGGCTTAGTTAAAGACCCAAAGCACCTCATCACTAAAATCATGCTGTTCGTCTCTTAGTGCAAAGATACCATGATCTTTGTAAGGCCGACTACAGTAAACCAGTGCAGGTGTCTAGATGTGGGACACAAAAGTGGGCCAGCTTTTACATACTGTGCTCAGCCATGGTTTGCTCAGGGAAAAACAAAAACTAGAGCACTGGGAAAACAAATGATTGTATATTTGATGTTAAGACAGTTTAACCAAAATGTAATATAAGATTATCGTTTTTCAAGGAAGTTTACTTTCTCTCTCTCTCTCTCTCGCTTTCCCCCTTTTTGATATTAGGTTCCAATGTCTTATCACTTTAGTGAAGTAGTGTTTTTTTTCCCTTTCTTTTTATCAGCCTTGAACAACTTTGGACATTAACCTTGAGGGGTGTGATGAGAAATGGCTTTGGGAAACAATACACAACGAAGTTACTCTATCATCCCGTGTTTCATCTTTGTTGAGGTGAGCTTTTTGACAACTTGTATAGGAAACTAAAACTCAGTAGTCAACAGGTGTACAGATTTATTTATTTATTTACTACTGATATGGGAAACTGAGATAAATTTCATCATGATGGCTTGGTTCTGAAGAGAAAATTTCACCAGGGCTACAATGCTAAACATGTGAACTTGTATGGTGCTTTGGTTTTCAATTATTGTTTTTTCTGGATTTTGAAAATTTCTGCACTTTGTAATATGCTATTATTAAATTTTGTAAGCCACCTAGAGCCATAACAGATTGAGGTGGCCTATAAATTTCACAAAATAGCCTTATGTGAACATTATTAAAAAGGGGAAAAAAAGAAAGAGAAGGAAAGCAACGTGATTGGCTCAAACATTCTCTTTATGTGTGTCTTGTCTTCCTGGCATTGGAACCCATACACTTTTAAAATATTTATTTACTTATGTATTTATTGAGTATATAACTACTCTGATATGAGCCACTCAGTAAGGTAGCGGTTGTCAGAAAATTAGATTCACAATATAAAGTTCTGCAGTATTTGTCTGAAATGACTAAAATTGATAAGATTGCATGACATCCAGAAGATGGCTGATTCTTTTTTCATTTTCTTTTTGGAAGGGGAAATCTGTTGGGGCTGCAGAAATGTCTGCAAGAGGGCATACCTCTGATTTCATGCTTGGTGTTAAAAAATACTGAGAAGCCTTTGTTGCATAAGCAGATTATGGTTCCTTCACTCATGCTTCTTTTGAACAGCCATAGCTGGGATTTCACATTTTCACTCATCCTCATAAAGGTCTATGCAGCATACACATTCTTCCTGGGGGATACAAGCTCAACTTGCAAAACCTTATGAGTGAAGACGAAGTAAGAAGATAGGGGTTACGCTGAGTTCTTTGTCCTCTGATATGATCCCACCTTACCATATCCCCACTTTTGCAGTATTATGAACATCTGTCCCAACCCACACAGTGTTGGTTCAGTCAATAGCTTTGCTCCTTCACTCATTCATCAAGCAAGTCTTTTTTTTCTTTTTAAGTCCTGCAAGTATTTAAAAATGCTTAAATTGACATTTAAAAGTATCCATTCATTTGTCTTCATGTTACATGGCTGTGATAAGTGTAAGCAATTTAAATAAATTATAAAAAACACTCTAGAGGTATATGTGACCTGTTAGGCACTAGTAAATCAGTGGCTTTCTGATATGAAGGTGGTGAAGCCACCTATAAATATTACTGTATATCTATCTTTTTCACTTCAAGCAAGTATATAAGTAGGAATCCAGTTCTTGCTGGCCCAAAGCCTCTCCCAGTTAGATTTAATAATTTCAGCTTCACCCAAGTTTTCTATAATGCTCCAAGTAAACAGCAACTTTGAATATGAAATTAAGGTTGTTTGTTCAAGTCAGAGCAGTTCCCAGTTCTCTTTCTGGCAGAAGAAGGCTCCTGCTACTGTTGTTCCCAGAGGAAGCCTACTCAGCTGCTGGTTGGTTTCATTTCTGGTGAAACAGCTGTTATCTCCTTTTGTCCCTTAAGGTTTCTTTTCCTCCCTTTAACCTTCTGTTGATTCTAGAACTAGTATTACAAAATAAATAACCAGTTATCAAAATCTGTGGTTGGGCTCTTCCTTTCAGACTGCAAGCAGGGATCCTAATGTCTCTGTTTTTGCCACCATATTAAATAAATCTAGCATAGAGGTAGTCTTCGACTTACGACCACAATTGGAACCAGAATTTCTATCACTAAGCAATGCAGTTATAAAGCGAGATGTCACATGACCAGATCACTTAGTGACCACAATCCCAGGAGTCCCAGTTGCCATTGTTAATCGAGAATCATGGGTCGTTAAGCAAGTACCTGCGCAGCCGCAAGCCTACGTAAGGTAAGGGACTGCCTCTAACTCCCCGCACCTGCCTATCTCCCCCCCATCTCTGCCCTTTTGGCCACCCTGGACCCTGCCTTGCAGGGCGGCAAGCAGCCCCGGAACCATGCAGCTTTGAAGCTCTTTGCCATGCCCCAGGAAGCCACAACCACCTCAGGCCAGTCCCAGCTACAGTGGCCTTTACCACCTGGCACTCCAAGACCCCTGCCGCCCTGTGCTCTGCCACCGCAGCTGACCTTTTCCATCTTCTTGCTCCAAAAAAGCCCTTTGCAAAAAGTTCCTGGAGTGCAGTGCAACAAAACGCCCCTTTGCAGAAAGCTCCTGGGTGGGGCTGGGCTTTTGCTTCATGCTGCAAAAAAAAAAAAAAAAAAA